CCGTCAGCCCCTCCCCAGCCTCTGCCGCCGCGCGTCCTGCGCACGGCGCTTCTCCTCGCGCACCCAGCGGGAGGCTGATGCCCTTCGTCCTGGACAGAGTGGGCCGAGGCCCACGCGGTAGGAAACTGTGATGTCCACACCGTGCTTTTTAGTAGCTCAATCCTGTTTTTCAAAGGAAACCTGCAGGGAACTGCAAACTGTACAGAAGGATGCTCGGCCCAGCTCTGGGGAACCGAGATGGAGAGTGAGTGAGGTGGGCCCCGTCCACTCTGTCTCTGGGTCCCAGGAGCCTCCGAGCAGGGCCGAGAGCGGCCAGGACTGGCTGCGGGAGAGCCGGGCACCGACCGGAAGCTCACTTCCCTCTGCTTCCTGAGGACATGCGCTTCCCTTCACTGACAGGACACATTTGCATCCGAAACTTTTGCTGTTAAATCAAAGTTTCAGAATCCGACGGCCATCACCAAGGACCAGTCATCACCGTGGCCAGCCATGCCCTGGGCCTCCACTGGGGCCCGTCCCACAGTGGTCTGCTCCACTCCTGTCCACTTAAGCCCAGGGCATCCATTCCAGCCCTCGAAAGCATCTCTATCGCCTCTCCCCCAGGTCCTGCGCCACCTGACTCACGGTGCACCTGTACCTGAGACCACACGCACCTGTGGCTCTGCTCGGATGCGGCCGACTTCCCTCGCCGCTGGGTCTCTGCTGAGCCGCAGCCCCTCGAACTGCCATCGTCTCCCGTCTGGGTGAGAAGGCAGCGGGGGGTCAGGTCCGTTACCAGTTTACCTGTGAACACGTGTCCCCACTGTGTGACCGTGGCCAGGGCACAGGTGGAGGAGGTCACGGAGTCACTGGTGCCGTCTGTGCGGGTGGAATGACCGTCCAAGGGGCTGGGCCACGCTGCGGCACGACAGATGGCGGCTACTTCTGGGACACACACGAGGGACGCCCAGTGGGTTCCGTGTCTGAGAGAGCGATGTGGCATCTGGCGACCGGACCGTTTGCCCAGCTCCAGGTTCTTCTCGTTCCTCCCAAGTTCACGCTGAGGAAGCGAGCGTGAGTCACCGCGGCGCCGTCGCCCTCACGGCGGCTGTGAAGGCTGCGGGAATCGAGCCTCCGTCTCTGCTGTCGGGCAGGACGACGGCTCCGAGGAGTTTTAACGCCGGCTTCTGTCTCCGTCTCCGTCTCATTCACGGCTGTGCCACCAGCCGGCACTGCGCCGCTGCCGTGACGCTCACCGAGGGCTTTTCTTTGAAAGCCACAGAAATGCTCATAATTTTATTTTGGACCAAGGATCGAGTCTCAGCCGAAGCTGGCCCTAAAGTCTGCGGAATTTTCCCTAACACTTAAATGTCACTTAAATCAGGCGAAGAGAAAAACTCAGTCACCGTGAGGCCACCACTGCTCACAGCAGCGGCATCAACACTCGGGGGACACGAGATGCCCCACCTCCCGTTCTGAGCACTGAGGGCCTGCAACCCGCCACCATCGTGGGTTCAGACAGACAGTGAAATCATCTTCGACTACTTCGGCTGTGGCTGAGAACCACGACACGCAGCTCAGGGTGTCTCCAGGCTCCGAAAGGGCCAAACGTGCCGAAGGAAAAAGCGGGTGGCTTCTCCTTCAAACGCCTGAAAGCCTCAAGGAGACCCTGTATCTCTCCACTGGGAAACGTGGACAGTGATCGTCTCGAAAGCAACGATCTAGGTTTTGAACCTAAATTCCAGACACGCATCCTGTTGAATTCGCTCTGCCACCGTCTGTGTTTAATGAGGTTTCGCACCAAGGTTTCCTTGAAGATGTGTGCACGGGGTTTAAACTGGAAATGCTATTTTAAAGGCAGAGTAAAGGGCACTTTACAAAGCGAAGACCTCACCCTGCCCTTTGCCCGTGCCCGCGGCACACGAAAGCCCGGGGCAGAGGGGCGGCGTGGAGGCCGGCGGCGGCGGCTCTCTCGCGGGCTGCGCTGGGAGTCGCGGTGGATGGAGCGCAGAGGGCGCTCTAGCTGCACGTGAACTTCGGACAGACCAAGGCGACGTTCTCTGCGCCCTGCACGGAGCCCGTTGTCACCCAAGTCCAGGTCCGGAGAGGCAGGGCCAGACGACTTCACAGCTCCGGGCGAGTCACTGTGTTGCCAACGTGGGAACCACCCCTCAGTGGAAGGGAATGAGCATGAACTAAAGCCCCTCGGTCCGCCCCCACCTCCGCCAACTAAGCACAAGACGCCTGACCCTTGACCCCACCCAGGGAGCCAGCTGCGGCCGGCCCTCCGGGGGGACACCAGCCTCTCCTGTCCCTCCTGCCCCACCTGCTTCCTGGAGAGGCGTCTGCCAGGTGCTTTAGCGTTCGGCATGCGCACACACGCACGGATGAACTTCGACGCC